CCCGTTCCGTGCCGCAAGTCAGCACTGGAGGATCGGAGCGGGAAAGGGGGAATCCCTGCAGGGAGCCGTGAGTGACAGTCACGGCTCTCTACAGAGAGATGATCGAGAAGTGAGCGAGCGATGGTATGTGTTCGCTCACTTCCCGATCTCGAGCCGACGTGACAGTTTCATTGTCACAGGTCGGCTCAGATTATAAGGTTGAGTGAAAATCACTCGCCTCATAATTCTCCTTTAACTGCAGATGCACTGAAGTCATTCAAGCCAGCTCAGCTCTTCTCCCCTCTCCCGCAGCACCTGCTGTGTGTCCACATTTGAGCTTACTGCCACAGGAATTGTACTGTACACATTTGGAACACATCATGTGATTATTATAGTTAAGTAAGGTATACACGGGATGAATTTCAGCCAGTTCCTGATGAACCAGCTGAAATTCACACACTTGGTGCCACTGTCAGCACCCCTCCACCTGGCATCCCTCCATCAGCTGATTGGGGAGAACTTTTTTCTAAGGAAAAAAAATTGAATTTCTAAAGTCTAAAGCCAACATTTGTTTCCCCCATTTTGGATACTGCAGGGAGGGCTTCATATTGTGGTCTATGTGCCACCCCCATCAAGGTTCCTCATCTCTATTTGTCCTGGTTTCCATTTTCACTGATCAAAAAGTGAGGGGAAAATCCAAAATCTTAAGCAGTCATTGGAACAAGAATAGGGGAGAAGGGTTGCATGTTCTGGGTGGGGATAACAGTGGATTTCTCCTCAAGTTGCAGATATTTTCTCAATTCCTGTTGTCTCCGAGACAGGAATTAAAGGGAAATGTCCCCAATGAGACACAGACAGCAAAAAAATGGGTGTAGTTGTGTACACACCATAAAATCCCTTTTCTTTCTCAGCATATTTTCTTTTGCCATTGGGACATCCAAAGGCAGTACTTAGAGGTGGGCAACACAACTAAAAAAAACGCTAACAGGCCCGAAATAACAGAGAGCTGGGGACCTGCCTGGCAGCGTGGTGTGGTGTGTTGCGGTCCAGTGCGATGCAATAAAATACATGTCTGCATTTTTTTTTCCTTCACACCACATTACACGTCATACCTGCGTTGTAGCGTGTACGGGGCACATAGATAACAATTGTTTTCTATTTAGCCAAGCAATGACTGACCCTGAAATTTGGGAAAACGATTGCTTGATCCTGAAAAGCCCAAGCAGCACTCACACATCCATTAGAGTGTCTTAGCAGGAAAGGGATGGAACTGGAGCAGGTTAGAGGGATGGAAGGACGGGAAGAACAATGTCCTGTCTGAGGTGAAAGGCAGAAAAAAGGTTCTTTGCAGGATGGGGCCACCGGTTCCAATCTCAAAGGCCATGCAGATTAGATGCGTCTTAGATGGGCGTTCCATAGTCCAGCACTTAAACCAAAGCGTCTTCCACATGTGAACGGACAGAAGACCCATGCAGGAGATAACGAAAAGCCTCCAACAGCCCATCACAACTGTAGCTCAAAGCTACAACCAGTTTCTCCAGTCATATGACCAAGGAATCAATCACAGCTGTGGCAAGATCTCTTTTGAGGGACTTTGGCTTTGCTTTGCCAAATGCTGGCTGACTGGGCAAAGCCAGGATGGGGTGAAGAGCAGAGCCAGCAAGAACAGTGTTCTAGAGGGGGCTTCCAATTGTTTATTGGTTGCATCCTCCAACGCTATTGACAAGACCCCCTTATATTCCCTCCATCACAGTGCTTCCATTCCGAGCACTATCATAGTGACATCACTGCTCCCTCACTGATTTCAGCACCAGCTGCAGTGGAGGAAATAGTGGCAAGGGAGTGCAGACAAGATGAGTATAAGAGGGTCAGGGGTTGCATTTGCATAGACACTGTTGCTATGCCCTGCATGGGCAAGGTGGCAGTGTCTCTTTAATGTCCATAGCCTGTTCACAGTTACATATTTAGTGTTTGATAGCAGGAGGGAGGGCTCTTACGGAAAATAACCACTTTCTTCCCGGACCACCTTGACAGGAGATAGGGAGACTGCAATAAAGACAATGGTTTTAACCATTCTCTATTCTAATGTAGTGTTGTTACCGTTCCCCCACTTGAGAGAAATATTCTGACTTTTTTCTGTGGTGACAGGTGGTCTCTGGAGGAAGGAGAAGAAGTGCAGGGAAATCAACTTAATGTGTGCACAGACAGCAAGAAAAAGTTTTATCTGGAATCCTAATTACTATACATCTAGAATGTAACGGGCAAACTTAACATTACAACTTTGTAACTATAAAGAGAAGTCCAATTGATGGGGTGCACAAACTGGACAGATTTCACACATCTTGCGTGTGTTGCCTCTGTAGTTTTCCACAATTCACAGTTTAGTTTTTTTACTAAATTACAAGTAACAGTGACTGAAAGTTGATATAATTTAACAGGAGATAGACAACTATATATGTATTCCACAAAGCTGTAGTTATCTTCTAGTTGACCAGTTTACTATGTAACAGTTGTAAAGGTGCCCATATATGAGTCACTTAACAGCAAGCAAAGGTTACTTTTAGACCTACGTTGCTGATAAATGGCGCACATATGGATAAGCCCCTGACGTTATTGCCCAATCACTACTTGATCAGATAGCATTCAGCCAAGATGGAAAATCCAATAGTGTGATAACACCATGAGAACATAAGTGAATATTGTGCAACATTTTGTCACTGAATGCTCGGTCAGTTTAGAAGGGGTGTCTGACAGACACAATATATAGAATTGACAATATGTGACTATGGGCAAATCGGTTAAACTCCAGACTGCCCAAAATCAAGCTTTTGTCAATTTGATTGGCCTGATTTTGTTTAATTTTCTACCGCACTTACCTAGAGAATTGATCACACCGCTGATTTTTAATAATCTGCAACAGCAATAATTCATTTTGACTTTCTAGGCATTTGTACTAACAAAACTGAGCAATTGATGTAATTATGGTATATTTTCTCACCGATTGCTTCACATTGACCTAAATAAATGATACCACAAACAATGCCCAATGTAGTCTATGATAAAATAACGGAACATAAATAACTAAACAGTCATGGTGGTGTACATATGGAAGTGGAACTTCTTTTAGTAGTCTGGTGTAATTAGGCTTCAGCTTCAATATGTCCTGAAAACACGCTCCAAAAAGTACAGAATAGAAAGTACAGTGCCCAAATGTATTCTTACTTTCAAAAGGACTGGTAAACTTAGGGTACACAAAAGAGTTACTATTCCTATGTATGATCTATAAGTTCCCTTATGTGAGCAACATTTTATATGTTTGGCATTGTTTTAAAGAGTTGGTATAGAGATAAGTGCTTGCAACATATTGCTACAATCTGCCTGCTTATTATGTTTTAGTTATATTTAGTTAGGGTCAGGTGGGCCCATGCACAGGCAGGCGAATCACTGGAAAAACAGCAGTGATTGGGCAAGCTTTTATTCAAACTGCCTGATAGTTCTGTTCCCTGAGAATGCTCGTTTAGGGATGCCCCGTGCTTCATCACAGAAGCTGGTTTATTGCCCAATTTGGCCAAACAAAGCCCTACCGCGATGCCAGTAAATAGGGCCACCTTTATGTTTTTCTTATTTCACTGTTCATTTGCTGAGCAAATATGGTTGTGATTCTACTATCCGCCTTTACTAATATAGCAGGCTGTATGTTTTAAGACATTCGAATATCTATGGGCACCTCAACTCACTAGGTATTCAGACTGGTATTGAGCACCTAAGATGCTTTACCAAAGGCTGCCACAAGTCATCCATTATTTACAGGGAATTGTTCCTGCCATTAATGTTCAAGCTGATCTGTAGCCACCCCAAAGTACAGGTATATTTTTGCCCACTTATATTATAAAACGTATTAACAAGATGAACCTACTGAGAGACCACGCAGGGCACCAGGTAGACACTATGTGTAGAAGTCCCTGCAAGTTAGGACATTGTAGCCACTGCCACACCCCCATCTCCCATGCACAGCAACATTAGGTTTAAATACCATGCATTGGGTGGAACATGGCCAGTGTGTTTTCCTAAATCCCCCCCTCAGATCAGTACCTGTATTACCACACCTGACAGCTTGGAAAGTCAATTCTTCATCAGAAACTGAAGCCACTAAAAAGGCAAATAATTAATATGGATATAATGTTTTCAGAAACATATTCTAATCCAGCTGCATTAATTGGCATCTCTCTAGATGGCTCCAGTTATGTTCCAGAAGTTTTAGTTGTACGTTAAGTTTACAAGTCTTTGAAAAGAGCACCATTTTTGGACTTTGTTTGAAGACATTCTTTGCTTTCAAACAATAAAACAGGTTTACAGTTACAAAAATGATTCACTTTCATATTTAAAAAGATTGCTTTTTGGCAAAGAGAAATGAAAGAGAAGAAACAATGCCAAGCGATAGGAAAAAAAGTGTTCTTTTGTGATTGGAATTTCTCTAGACTTTACATGTCTTTAGAGCTCACTGATTAAGAAAGCCATTTCAAGACACTATTACTGTAGTATGATCAATAATTTTTAAAAAATCATTCCGACAACCAAAATGCACACATATTCACTCCAAGCTCAAGTGGGAAAATACAAAAACTTCTGGCAGCGACTGAACTGAGCACACATGGTCTTCTATCAATAACTCGAGCATGGCAATTTTTAAATCTCTTTAGAACAACACAAAAATGGTTCTACGGTCCTGATTTCTCAGGCGTCACCTCCAACCAGGGAAGAATTGCATTTATTCAGTCTTCTGAGAAGCTGCAAACATTCTTTGCAATATGTTCAGATCAAGCGATCTGGACCACTTTTCCCAAGAAAGAAAATGTTTTCAGATAGATAAGATAGATATATAAAAAAAACTATGTCCACAGAAATGCCAGATATGATTTACCACTTCTTTTCAAGCGTGTATCTATACCTCTCCTCTTGCAAAACAAAGTTTATTTTTGTCGATTTTCCTCAAGGGCCCAAGTACAGTGATACAATACTGTTAACCAATCACAACAAAGATCTGAAGGCGGCCATGGTCTTGTAATTCTTCTCCCAGCCTACATCCCACATTCCAATGTCAAGATGGAATACTGAGGTATATAAATTCCGCAGAACGTTCAACAAATACATCTGCAATGTGTTCGGAATCAATGTCCATGAAATGATGCTGATTTTCCCCAACTTTTCCCAGCTGTTGAGACTTCCTACTGTTGCAGGTTAAGAGAAAATTTCCACTGCTGCGATAAAGAAGGACTGCATACTTCTACTGTTAGACCGCCATTTTTGGCATTCCGACTGTCTAGGCAAAAGTTGCTTCCCACGTGCCTCAGCTTGGAGTTATTTTCAATTTGTTCCCATTTCTAAAGTAAAATAAAAGCGGGAAAGAACATATTAGGGTTATAAATAACTTCAGATGACCTTGATCAACCTACGTATGCTCTCAAAGAGTCATGGCAAAGCGACAATATCTGTGTAATGCACCCCCCAGACCCACGGATACTCCTCTTCTTCAGCAATCCCCTGCTGCTTCTTCCTCCATCTCAGCCAGTACAAAATGCCCGACACTGCCAGGTATTGCAGAGCATATGACCTCCTCCCACGGTGCCTGACCCCTAATGGCCAATCAATAGGCTTGAGCATGGTCTCATGAGGGAGGGGGAAAGGTCACCTGTCTTTTTAGGCTCAGGAACCACTCAATGTGGCAAGAGTTGCAACAAGGGAAAGGACAGTGCGAAGTTGCTGGAGAGGCAAGCATCAGCAAGAGCATTACACAGACGAGGTCGCTTGCACTGAACAGTAATAGTGACAATCTCTCCTTAATATTTAATGATGATATCTTAACATTTCCGTTGTCCAAACAGCAGCAGCACTGGTTTATCAAGAAAAAAATAAGTTTTAAATCTGAAAATGTTTTAAAGTAACATAACAAAACCTAAAATGTACACGTTTGTGTGCGTGTGTAAAGAGAGGATGAACTTTCTCATGGAAACATTGCAATGCTTTATAGCAAATGCTCCACAATGGAACTTTCTAGGAAGTAGAAAACACTGCTTCTGGGAATCTTTATGCCTTTTTCATTGTAATTTCATGAGCCTCGTCACTGAACCCTTGCTGCAAAGGGTTGGCTTAAAGCTCAATTCAAAGCACATTCTAAAATGTTTTATTTCATTGTAAATTGAGTAGGGAGGAGTTAGAGCCTGGGTCAGGAGATCAGGGGAAATTTCCTCACCAGGGACACGGCAAACCCATAAGTAAAGTGAAAAAAGGGGTAGAGCTACTGATGTTTTGCTGCCCACGCCTTTCTTGGAGGGTTTCCTTTCACCCTCCATTAATTTAAGGCTCCATTCACACAGGAGCGGTTTTCCACACGTATTTGTGCAAGTGGAAACACGCTAAATATAAAAACCAATGCATTCCAATGTGCATTGTTCAGACTATGACGGTGGCCGCGTGGTACGAAACCACACGTCCCGCAAAATAGTCCAATTGCAATTTTATGGGTGGATTCCACCCGTTCAGGCTATAGTAATAGCTGCAAATGCGCGGAACAGGGGTGGCACTATCCCCCCCAATAGCATCACAGACAGACATTTTAACTTCTCCCCACTCGATCTAAAACCAAAACGAGGAATGTTGGTAGGGGTTAGGCTTTAAAGTAAACCTGGGCAATTCAAACTAAAAACATAAGGGGGGGGGGAGGTCCAGGGAGTGGAAAAACAAAAAGGACAATGAGGTAGAAGACTTGTAGTCTGTTCCTTAGGCTTGTCCCCCAGAGGGAGATAAGCTCTTGCCACTTTTTCCACAAGGGTTCCACAGTCCAGCACCTAAGCCACATTGCCCTCTGCCCATGTTAAGGCAGGACACTGCCAGATCCTCTGTAAATGTGTACAAGAGTAATAAATATTTTGGGGTGGCAGACAGCTTGTCAGGATATTTCCAGTCTCCATAGAGAAATAGTTGGAAATGCAGGTACAAGGGGAAAGTCTTTATGACATTCAGAGTTTGTAAACTATCCGAGACTCGAAATATCACTGGTAGAAGCAACAGACGAATTCAATAGTTTCAGAGTGGCGCTCTCTGCAATAATAAGAGCCAAATTGGTCTTTATTTTGGGAGTAATAGCAGTAGACTGACTCCTCAAAAAAAAACTCCTCAGTTAAGAACTTAAGCAACTCAGAATCTCTGCACTAAGGGTGCTGGCAAATTCAATATAGAATCTGTAGGCGAGAGAGAGAGAGCAGAATGGTGTTTGTTAACTCTGCAACCACAGCGGCAAAAAAAAATTGGGTAATTTGGTTCATAAAATCCTGCATGACTGCGGCCCAGCCACACCTAACTCAGTCAAAGAAGACTCTGAGGATGAAACAGACTCTAAAATGAACGGACAACATGATCCCAGACTGAAGACATCAGCACAATCAGAAGGCGTGCTGCAATCAGTCCCAGACCTGTTGGTAGAATCTAAGCTGGGGGCACCCAATACAGTGGGAATGCCCCCCCCCCACCCACACACACACCTGTGTCTAGAATCAGACTGTTGTGGGGCGGTAAAGAAACATATAGGCTCGACTCAGTGCAAGACGCAAGGCCTCGGGTACTCATGAAACCTGGACAGCTAGTAGCAGGTAAGGGTTGGATGCAGGGGCGTAAATAGAAATCACAGGGCCCCATAGCAAAATTTTGTATGGGGCCCCGTGATTTCTAGTTATACCCCTTGCAGAGCCCACTCAAGATCCCACCTGAGGGTGACCCTGCAGAGCCCACCATAGAATTTCTATGGTGGGCTTTGCAGGATCACCCTCAGGTGGGCTGGTCGCACTCCTTACCTCCTCCGAAAACGCCACTGGCACGCAGCAGTTGGGCCAGAGATTGGGGGTGCATACCAGCAATCAGAGTTGCAGTGATGTCATTATAGGCAGACGGCAGTTGGGCCAGAGATTAGGGGTCCATACCAGCAATCAGAGTTGCAGTGATGTCATTATAGGCAGACGGCAGTTGGGCCAGAGATTAGGGGTCCATACCAGCAATCAGAGTTGCAGTGATGTCATTATAGGCAGACGGCAGTTGGGCCAGAGATTAGGGGTCCATACCAGCAATCAGAGTTGCAGTGATGTCATTATAGGCAGGCGACAGTTGGGCCAGAGATTGGAGGTGCATACCAGCAGAGTTGCAGTAATGTCATTATAGGCAATCGGCAGTTGGACCAGAGATTAGGGGTGCATACCAGCAATCAGAGTTGCAGTAATGTCATTATAGGCAGACGGCAGTTGGGCCAGAGATTAGGGGTGCATACCAGCAATCAGAGTTGCAGTGATGTCATTATAGACAGACGGCAGTTGGGCCAGAGATTAGGGGTGCATACCAGCAATCAGAGTTGCAGTGATGTCATTATAGACAGACGGCAGTTGGGCCAGAGATTAGGGGTGCATATCAGCAATAAGAGTTGCAGTAATGTCATTATAGGCATCCGGCAGTTGGGCCAGAGATTAGGGGGGCATACCAGCAATCAGTGTCAGTACTGTCATTATAGGCAAGTGGCAGTTGGGCCAGAGATTAGGGGGGCATACCAGCAATCAGTGTCAGTACTGTCATTATAGGCAAGTGGCAGTTGGGCCAGAGATTAGGGGGGCATACCAGCAATCAGTGTCAGTACTGTCATTATAGGCAAGTGGCAGTTGGGCCAGAGATTAGGGGGGCATACCAGCAATCAGTGTCAGTACTGTCATTATAGGCAAGTGGCAGTTGGGCCAGAGATTAGGGGTGCATTCCAGCAATCAGAGTTGCAGCAATGTCATTATGAACAGACGGCAGTTGGGCCAGAGATTAGGGGTGCATACCAGCAATCAGAGTTGCAGTATTGTCATTATAGGCAAGCGGCAGGGGCGTAACTAGTAATCACAGGGCACCTAAGCAAAATTTTGTATGGGGCCACATGATTTCTAGTTATACCCCTTGCAGAGCCCACTCGAGATCCCACCTGAGGGTGACCCTGCAGAACCATAGCGACCCAGGCGGCCCGCACGGCATCCGGCCGGGCCCCACTGTGCCCTGGGCCCTATAGCGACCGCCTGGGTCGCTATGGTGATTGTTACGCCACTGGTTGGATGTCAGGTCAGCAGAAACAGATCGAAGCTCCACGTGGCCCTTTTCAAGCAGGAGCAGCATCAGCAAATAGTTGCTTCCATGAAGCTGTATGATAGGAAAGAGTTCCTCTGTCCCTTCATTAATTTTATCCAAAAGTTTTTCCTTTCAATATACTTTTTAATAAATGTTATTGTTGGAGATGCTTTTTTCAAGTTAGACTGTTTAAAAAGGACATTAAAAAGGCAGTATGGATTACCGTACACAGCACCAAGAGTACAGTCCTTACCTGTCTACTGTCGTTTTCTCTGCAGGCTTGAAGTTTTATAAGAGAGCCGGGTGCTCTGTCCACAACAGTAAGACAAAGATCCATGTGTTTAACTGACTTATCTTTAGTAAGAGCCCATTCCTAAAGTAAAATGAATGCAGACAATCAGGTTTCTTGGATAAAAGTTTCTGAAATGTTACTGCTAGGTTAAATTTTTACATTAAGGAATGAAAGCAAAAATTCAAAAAAGCCAAATCTTTTTATACTTTGGGTCACAGGAGAATATTTACTAATCTACTCCTGTGACCCAAAGTCGGCATATAGCAGGCTAATGCCAGCTAAATCTTGACAGTGCAAAGTCAAACTGTAGCTGGGCGGGATCCCGATATTGCTGGGATCGACCTGACTGCTCTCCGCCCCCACCTCTGTTTGTCCCTGCAGTGAGCATTGGAGGAACAGAGAGGAGAGAGGAAAATCCCTGCAGGGAGCGGTGACCAACGGTGTGTTGGTAGGCAGAATATAATGAAAGCACTGCAGAAAACAACATTGACATGCTTGATTAAGAATTTTTTTAGAGCATTTGTAACTTGAGCTTACTCTTGGAAAACGGTTAAATTGGTGGGTTTATTTCCACTTTACCTGCCTTGAAGAAAAACTGATAATCCTATATATGATCCTTACCAGGTCCTTTAGGACCATATCCTAAAGGAGCAGTGTGGGGAGAGCGAAACATGCGCTACTCCCCACTTAAAGCCAGCGTGGGACACTGCAGCTGTCACACGCCAGCTCTATACAGAGAGCTGAGTGATCATGTACCTGCTGATCACTCAGCTGACGGGTTCCTCCGTGCAGAGAGATGTAACCATCAGTCACTGACCCCCCACAAGGATTCCCCTCTCTGTCTGTTCCTCCGGCGCTCATTGGAGGGGCAGACAGGGTAGGGGGCGGGCACAGCTGTCTCTGGCTATTGAGAGGCACAGACAGCCGTCACTTAGGTAGCCAGGGTGGATCTCCACAATATCATCAGGACCTTTCCCAGCTGCTGCAGAGCTCTGTACTGTCAGACGATAGCTCATTTCACCTGGTGTTCTGGAGATCATAGGAATTACCTATAAACCAGGATTACACAAGACAGTTTAAAAATAGCATTACCAGTTATTTCTTTGTTTGTATGTAGTTGTAATACGTACTTGGTTACCCCCTGCATTATGACATTCATAGACACCCACAACTCCATCTGCAAAATGGCCCAATGTGTCAAGACAGTTTGTTCCTTGTTGTAAAGCTCCAAATGCAATATCCTGATGGTCAGGAACCCTGGAAATGAATTGAAAAACAATGAATGTAAATATAATGAAGCTGTGCATGTTTCATACTATAATTAATATTCCCTGTAACTAGTTTTATTTTGAACAAAGCCAGAAAATGCCATGCCGTTACAAATTAAGAGGCAGAGCTGGCACACCCATGACATGCACACGGTTTTAATTAAAGGGTAAGTGTTCACTTGAGATAAAAATATAAATTAAGTGTTGTGTCTTTTTGCACACCTGGCTGATTCAATGCCTTTAATTAGCCAAAGTCTTAAAATGATAGATTTTAAAACTGATGAGACGTTGCCTAAA